TCATACACATCCAGCTTCATATCTATGGGTTTTCATAGGCGGTAGGCTTGTTCGGTAGCTCACGGAGTACGGAGATGTACTTGAGAGACGAGGAGCTCCGGTATGAATCCTGTGTAACCACGGCTCGACAAAGCAGTTCAAAAACGGTGTTGCACAAAAAGTGCACAGAGGTACACATTTTTATGAAACCAGGTTGTCCTTGCTGAATAAAAGTATTAGTTAAAAAAAAAAAAAAAAGCATTACAGGCCCCAAACTTTTTAATGGTAGTAGATTTCAAAGTACCATGATATTATACGATTTGGTTTTTAACAGGAAAGTTGAACCCGTTCAACAGAAATACAAGGTGTGTTGTTCAATGTTGTAAGTGGCCTTCATTTCAAAGTGCAACACATTTTTGCCCTATTTCTTCTCTATTAGACCTGTCATGCCCTTTAAGACTGAAAGTTGTGTGCGTGTAAGTGTGCGTGCAAGAGTTGTTAGCCCACCAGGGTTGCTCTCTTATTCAACATGTGACATTTGTCATTTTGACATGTGCTGATGCCCTTTGGAATTGTGCCATTTTTACTTGCTAGAAGATCTTCATATCCTGACCCCCTTCTGCCACTCCTGTTATGACTTCAAAACAATATTAATATGCTGGGAGATTTGAAAACTGATGCTTTTGAACGTTAGCATCGCACACATCCAGCTTCATATCTATGGGTTTTCATAGGCGGTAGGCTTGTTCGGTAGCTCACGGAGTACGGAGATGTACTTTTCGAGACGAGGAGCTCCGGTATGAATCCTGTGTAACCACGGCTCGACAAAGCAGTTCAAAAACGGTGTTGCACAAAAAGTGCACAGAGGTACACATTTTTATGAAACCAGGTTGTCCTTGCTGAATAAAAGTATTAGTTAAAAAAAAAAAAAAAAGCATTACAGGCCCCAAACTTTTTAATGGTAGTAGATTTCAAAGTACCATGATATTATACGATTTGGTTTTTAACAGGAAAGTTGAACCTGTTCAACAGAAATACAAGGTGTGTTGTTCGATGTTGTAAGTGGCCTTCATTTCAAAGTGCAACACATTTTTGCCCTATTTCTTCTCTATTAGACCTGTCATGCCCTTTAAGACTGAAAGTTGTGTGCGTGTAAGTGTGCGTGCAAGAGTTGTTAGCCCACCAGGGTTGCTCTCTTATTCAACATGTGACATTTGTCATTTTGACGTGCTGATGCCCTTTGGAATTGTGCCATTTTTGCTTGCTACAGGATCTTCATATCCTGACCCCCTTCTGCCACCCTATAAGACACAAACAAGCTGAAACAGTTAGGCTTCATCCCCATTGTGTTCCCTCATCCCCTGGGTTTCTGCACAGGATCGTACAGACAATTACTGAGAAGTTATGGTAATCCCAAGTTACAGGGACCAGTTGTTTTTTCAAGGTTAGCGTGTGAAGCTGGGCATGTCACATTTGCTCAGGCAAGTGTCTGGTTTTGTCAAGGACGGGCTGTGGAAATGCACTGGAGAGAGAGTGAGAGACAGAGAGAGGGAAATGTAATACAAAGAAAAGGCTTTTGTGTTTGAACCAACCCTGTCTTGAACTCAGGGTCTTGATAACCATCCTTGGTCTCTATTCAATTGCGTTAACCTTAAAATAATGCATAATAATTAACGATTAAGCTGTTATTCACACATGACATTATCGCTGAGATTTACAATGACCACGAAATGAACTTTAATTACTAGCTTGATTTTTCCCCCCCCTCTGGATCTTTTTTTTTTTTCCAATTCATGTGCCTCTGAAAGGATGTGAAATGGATGATCATACTGCTTAAATTAATTCTAATGTATCTATTGTGTTTTCCACAGTCACACATTGCTCCGTTTGGATCAATGAAACATTTGCACACATATTAAACCAGAGGAGTCATGGATACATTAAGGAAATATTGGCTGCAGAGTTGTTAACAGCGGTTAGTTATATCACCCTTCACCCAGTTGCTAGGAAGCTAATTTTAGGTGATTAATCAATTCAGAGAGTATAGAAATGTAATTAGGAGTCTCTTTTGTTTTAAGAGGACGACCTTGTCATAAATGTTTACAGGCAAAACCAGTCTCAGGGGACAGTGGTAGAATTAAGACAGTCTGATCTTGACCCCCTTCTGCCACCCTATAAGACACAAACAAGCTGAAACAGTTAGGCTTCATCCCCATTGTGTTCCCTCATCCCCTGGGTTTCTGCACAGGATCGTACAGACAATTACTGAGAAGTTATGGTAATCCCAAGTTACAGGGACCAGTTGTTTTTTCAAGGTTAGCGTGTGAAGCTGGGCATGTCACATTTGCTCAGGCAAGTGTCTGGTTTTGTCAAGGACGGGCTGTGGAAATGCACTGGAGAGAGAGTGAGAGACAGAGAGAGGGAAATGTAATACAAAGAAAAGGCTTTTGTGTTTGAACCAACCCTGTCTTGAACTCAGGGTCTTGATAACCATCCTTGGTCTCTATTCAATTGCGTTAACCTTAAAATAATGCATAATAATTAACGATTAAGCTGTTATTCACACATGGCATTATCGCTGAGATTTACAATGACCACGAAATGAACTTTAATTACTAGCTTGATTTTCCCCCCCCCTCTGGATCTTTTTTTTTTTTCCAATTCATGTGCCTCTGAAAGGATGTGAAATGGATGATCATACTGCTTAAATTAATTCTAATGTATCTATTGTGTTTTCCACAGTCACACATTGCTCCGTTTGGATCAATGAAACATTTGCACACATATTAAACCAGAGGAGTCATGGATACATTAAGGAAATATTGGCTGCAGAGTTGTTAACAGCGGTTAGTTATATCACCCTTCACCCAGTTGCTAGGAAGCTAATTTTAGGTGATTAATCAATTCAGAGAGCATAGAAATGTAATTAGGAGTCTCTTTTGTTTTAAGAGGACGACCTTGTCATAAATGTTTACAGGCAAAACCAGTCTCAGGGGACAGTGGTAGAATTAAGACAGTCTGATCTTGAGCAAAGTCATGGTGTATGTTTTATGAAGGCTTGTGTGTGTGTGTGTGTGTGTGTGTGTGTGATTAGGGCTATCAATTATGTAAATTTTCAAAAATATGTTTCAAGTAAATTATTTTTTTGCCAATTAAAGAACTAAATTCTTTACATATAAAATTTGATGGGAAACAAAGACATTATTTTAGCATGTGAAAGCATATTATCATTTATTGAATAGATATTTGAAGTTTTATGCATAGATTTTACTTGTATCGGCACAGTAATCTTTTTATTGCTTTTCTTTAATTAAATTATTATCATATCAGCATAATCCACTATCGTTTTATCTACAATTTGTATGTATTGATGTATTAATGCATACTGAATAAGCATGTCTTGAGAATTTTAAACTCGAGGTTTGTAGTTAAATGTGCATTCCAGCCTCTTTGAATAAGTAAAAAAAAAATAATAAAGAGACTGATTACGGCCTTCAGAAGAGAGAAGGATGCCATTATATTATAAACACACTTGCAGCAGAAGAATGTAGGTTTTTTTTTATTAATATAACACAAAATATGTCGTTATATGTATACAGTCGTGGCCAAAAGTATTGGCAGTGACACACTTTTTTTTTTTTGCAAAGTTTGCTGCATAAGCTGTTGTGGTGTTCATTCACATTGTTTCTACAAGTATTGGCAGTAACATAATCTAGAAACAATGTGAATGAACACCACAACAGCTTAAGCTGCAAATTTTGCAAAACACAAAATTGATGTCACTGCTAATACGTTTGGCCACACCTGTACATTTAATATATCCATCCATCCATTAGCCAGATTTATGATATTAATAACTCTGCTCCATCATAGTCTGTGAACAGGGTCCATTAGACATATGAACAGACAGTATTTTTTATTGATTGGATTTTTTATTTTTTATTTTTTTGGTGCAGATGTTAAAAAAAGTTCTTAAAGTCTTAAATTTGATTTGAACTCTGCAACTAATTTGCCCCCCAAAAAGTCTGGTTTACATCCCTGATTAAACACTACTGGATGACATGATTACTTGTGGACAGGGCCTTGTTTCGTGGGCCCTGAAATTTGCAGCAAGCTATTATCACATCAGCATTATAAAGAACAGCATGTTACTTGAAAGTAATTTGAGGATGTATGCATATTCTTTTCCTCATCTATTATTAGCAGTGTCCATTGTGCTCTCCATTGTATTTGCCTGATGTTGATAGTAGGGATTTGTTTTTCCTCTCTGAGATCTTAGATTGATGAGTGCTAGGATAAGTAGTGAGAGAGCGAGAGAGAGAGACAGATGCCGAGACAAAGACGGAGACAGAGAGAGTTTGGCAGGCCTGTTTGTTTGCCCTTGCCCGAGCCAAGCCTGGTGTTTACAGCCACTGCTGATCCACTCCACAGCACTGCATAGATGAGCGATATGAGACTCATTAGCCCTGATTGCATTTATCCACTTCTGAGCTCCACTGGCCGGTGACAGCTCAGGCTAGTGATTGATGGAAATACAACAGGGGTCAAAAGCAGAGAGATTAGACCCTGTTGAGTGGAGGATTTAAGTGTTTTGTTGGTACGTATTGTGTGGTTGCTGGACTGTGTTTGTTAGCAGAATTTTGTGTGTAAAGCTGCTTAAAGTAGTGCTTAAAATGAAATCAAAGTTCACCCCATTTGCATAGTAGCCTACCTCTTGCTGGTCTCATTGTGCATGATTTGCTCGTTATTGTTTTTCTCTTTGAATACCTTATTTAACTTAGATACTCCTGTAACAATGTCGTTTCACAATGACTTTTAAAGACAAGGGGTGAATTCACTAAATTGTTGTTTCTGTTTATCATGGCAACAATTATTCTTCAAGGTTTGCTACACTCAGAAAAAAAAGGTACAAAAGCTGTCACTGAGGTGGTATATTTTCAAAAGGTACAAATACCGAATGTACATTTTAGGTACTTATATGTATACCTTTAAGGTACTTATAGGCTAAATTAACTGTAAAGGGTGTACCTTTTGAAAAGGTACTGCCCCAGTGATAGCTTTTGTACCTTTTTTTTTTTGTACCTTTTTTTTTTACTAGTTGGCGTGTACACTACTGTTCAAATGTCAGTACGATTTAATTTTTATAATTATAAGACAATTTTAAGGGACCACACATTATTTTTAGTAGTTATTTCTTGTTCATATATATATATATATATATATATATATATGGTTATTTATTATATATATATATATATATATGATTATTTATTACATATAATATATTATATTTAATATTATAAATAATATATAATTAATATATTATTAATATCTAATATTGGCCAACATATTGATTATTGACTTCAAACTGAAGTATAATAAAATAAGTATTAATTATGGTATGATCCAAAATGTCCATATCGGTGCATCTTAAATTATAAACAGTTTTTGCCATATTTAATGAATTGTAAGTATATTTATAACAATTTTTCTTTTAGTCTGCCATATTGTTTATTTATTTCATTCTGGGATTGTATTCTTCACAAAGGATGCTGCTGCTTTAAAATTTGGACAAAACATTGTGAGTGCACCTATGATATCATAAAATGCTGTCTCTGTAGGAGCAGAGTAAGTTTGTGATGATTTTCAGAGAGTTTTAGCTCACTCTTTCTCTCTGGACAAGAACTGGCACTTAAAATTAATCTCTCACTTTGGTGGCCTGTGGCCATCTCCTTTTGATCTGCATCTTGAAGTATTTCCGTTCTGTCCAACCACAGGCTAAACAAGCTGCAATGTGTCATCATGATGTATGTGGGTGCTAATTCGCTGCTAGTCTTGAAGTATTTCCTTTCTGTCCAACCACAGTGTAGCATCTGTGTGTAATAATACACACTATATATTCTCTTTTTATATGACAAATACTAATTCGCTGCTATTAAAACATTTCAAGTAGGGCGATTTCACACAGGCAGACTTTTGAGGCCTAAGCTTGCAGTAATTTTCATAGCCCCCCCCTCTCTAGGATGTGCTGAAATACTAGCGGCCTAGGTAATGATGTTGCCAGAGCAGATTACACCAGGCTGTGCTTGGAGTGTCTCTGTGAGCATCTCTTTGAAGGTTGTAATCCATGGATTTGGTCACGGATGTGGGAGAACTCGGAGAAGAGCATCCACCAGGTGAACCTGCCTCGAGAGCTTAGTCTGGGACATGCAGACATTGCTTGGAGGAAGAGTGTCAGTGTGCGACCCACAAATGCGCACATTTGTTTGATGCAATTTATAAACCTGATTGCCTAAAGCCTGAAGCAAAAAGAGCAGTTTTGAATTAAGCACTTTATGTAAAAAAATGTAAGGCTGGTGTCATTTTTGGCAGCATGCTTGAATTGCAAAGGGAGCTGCTGAGTGTCTGTGACCTCTGTTAAAACGTTCTACATTTTATCTAGAATCAGTGAGGTTTCATCTATCATTTGAGCTGAATGTTGAATTGGTTCTTGAAAGGCAAAAATGTTTTTTTTAATGTTTTTGATGTAAACTTTAGGCCATTAAAGAAATGATTTTATCTTTTACAATATACCTTTTTGGCTGCAATTCCTCTTGAATTGGTTGAGCATTTCTATTTTACACTACTGTTGAAAAGTTTGGGTCAGTAGGATTTTTAAAAAATGTTATCACAAGAAGTCTCTATGCTCTTCAAGGCTGCATTTATTTGATCAAAACTAAAAACATTGATATTGTGAAATATTATTGCAAATTAAAATAACGGCTTGCTTTTTAAATATATTAAATATAATTGATTCCTGTAAGGGCAAAGCTGAATTTTCGGCAGCCATTACTCCAGTCTGCAGTGTCACATGATCCTTCAGAAATCATGCTAATATGCTGATTTGCTGCTCAAGAAATATTTCTTATTTTATCAATGTTGAAAACAATTGTGCTGCTTAATATTTTTTGTGGAAACTGATACTTTTTTTCAGGGTTCTGTGACGAACAGAAAGTTCAAAAGAACATAATTTATTTTAAACAAATCTTCTGTAACAATGTAAAACGTTTGATCAATTTAATGCATCCTTGCTGAATAAAAGTAGAGTATAGATTTCTTTCAAAAAATGGTCTGGTCTCTTATGGTCTGACTTGACGATCATGGCCACTCCCTGGTTTGATGAAGATTTTGTGAATTGAGAAAAAGGGCAACAGAATTGCAATTCAGGTTTTTCCCAGTCACTCCATAGAGTTAAAAAGGCCATGTGCCACCTTTTAGTGTCATTTGCACTCAGAACACAAGTTACCTACTTCTCTTCGCATAAATTAGTCATGTTTCTCCTTCTGTATCTGAATTCTTCTGACTCTTGTTCCTCCATTACACATGCACATCCTCTATCTCATATGCTCCCTTAAAAAAAAACTTTCTCATCAAGCTAAAAGCAACATACTGTAGGCAGTACTGCAGATTCAGGGGTTGGATCACTTTCCCTCTGGAGATGCGATCCGATGGTAATTTTATGATGCACATGTCATAAGTCATTTCTTCATCACATCCTTCCAGCATGATGAAAACTGACGGAACAGCTTCTGCCCTGATATGCTACTCAAGAGATGAAGGAAATTAACGCACAAAAACTGTATAACCATTCAGGTTTTTCCCAGTTACTCCATAGAGTTAAAAAGGCCATGTGCCACCTTTTAGTGTCATTTGCACTCAGAACACAAGTTACCTACTTCTCTTCGCATAAATTAGTCATGTTTCTCCTTCTGTATCTGAATTCTTCTGACTCTTGTTCCTCCATTACACATGCACATCCTCTATCTCATATGCTCCCTTAAAAAAAACTTTCTCATCAAGCTAAAAGCAACATACTGTAGGCAGTACTGCGGATTCAGGGGTTGGATCACTTTCCCTCTGGAGATGCGATCCGATGGTAATTTTATGATGCACATGTCATAAGTCATTTCTTCATCACATCCTTCCAGCATGATGAAAACTGACGGAACAGCTTCTGCCCTGATATGCTACTCAAGAGATGAAGGAAATTAACGCACAAAAACTGTATAACCTTAGGGAGAAGAATGACGTAGATGCACATATATAGTAGCCTGTCTATGCGTGAGTGGTGTGTGAATGTGTGCGCCTGCTAACAGCTCATTTTTTCCTGGATTCATTCCCAGCACACTTACCTTAAGCAAGCATTTGAGGAGTTCCACAAGCAACCTTCCAAGAACTCCATAAGCTCTCCGTAAAACTCCTCTGCTTCAAGGACACACTCCTTCCATATTATCCTGACAGCACTAATCCTCCTCGTGTCTGCAAAGATCACCTCCACTGATGTAGTGAAGCTTCTGGGAGAAACTGTAATGGTTGTAGACATCTGTGCGGGGCGTTTTCAGGATGGCGTGGTAAAGTGCTTATATACTTTTTCGGTCTTGCAGGAGAGACCAGGGGCCTCATTTATAAACGTTGCGTACGCACAAAACCTGCCCTGAAAGAGGCATACGCCACTTCCTACGCAAAAGGTGGATTTATAAAAAACAAACTTGACGGGAAAATTTGCGCACCTGCACGCAAACTCTGACCCATGCGTACAGACTTTTTTTTCCTGGAGAGAGAAATCATTATTTTTCAAATACGTTACATTTGTTATTAGTTCCTCTATTGGCCAGCTGACCCAGAGCATTGTGACTGGCCGAACACCACAAGTACTCGTTGGAAATGTAACGCCCCTTTCCATAATCGAGCTTCAACTTTCAACATAAATGTAAATACAGTACATAACGTCCTTAGTTTTACCATCAGTTCAACCCCGAAAGTGGAACGAAGTTGTGTGACAGACACAGTGATGATGCTCGTATGTATTTGCAATACACAAGCCACGATTAAGAAAGCTGACTGACTCCACTGTGATGTGACCATGTCTCTCTCTCACGCACACACACGACGGGATACTCTACATGCTGCAAAACTTCGCATTTTAACAGTCAATAGCAAATACTTAAACTATTATGAAAACATACTTACAGTAGTTGATTCAGAATAAGCGCCAGATTGTCATAGCAAAGTCGGAATTTACCCATTTTTTTAGAAATAGCCTTTGCACAGCCAGCCTTGTAGGCTAGGCCTACTCTCCTATGTTCACAAAACTGTTGTCCATAAAATGTGTTGCACAAATTCGAACATCTGGGTTGTGCTGTTCTGTTGTAAATAAATCTTAACCAACAATTCCTCATTGCATTTGCTTTCAGAAAGCCAAATCAAGTGCTTTTGCTTTCGCACTGAAACACACAGCGTCTCCCTGACATGGCTGCATCAACACTACTGCTGTTCCTGAAACCACGCCTTCTTTCTTTGCATGAACATTTGGGTGGCATTATGCAAATATATCCACATTGTAACGTAGAGATGTGGGGGCGTGTTTGAATGAGGCGTTTTAGCCCGGTCTGGATCAGCCTTCTCTTTTATATAGAATAAATCCTTTTGTGGGAGACTTTGAGCTTTGTAACTCTGCAGATCTTATACATGCACAAATAGCTACATAACACACTAAAGAAAAGGAAAAATAGAAATCGCATCAAATGACCCCTTTAATGTCTTGTACCTTTGACGGTGTTAAACATGGTGTCACGTGGATGCAATGTGCATGCAAATGATATGCAGAAGAGGTTATGCATAGTAAGACTAGGCGTTGTAAGCTTCATATATGGTGATTTTGGGGAGGAGTCGGGGTGGAGATGCAGATACGCACAATCTTACCCTGACTGGGATGTTCTGGCGTACACATGGTTTTATAAATCTATATGGTTTTCTAAAACTTTTGTGTGTATGCAAAATCTAGCTTTTGTGCCTATACGTACACTTTTAGGATGAAATCTATGGAGAGTTTTATAAATGAGACCCCAGGTGATGACCATGAATGGGTTTTTTTTTTTTTTTAAAGACTTTTAAAAATTAGTTGAGTTTTGATAATATCTCTGTTTTTATTTTAATATTAAATAGTAATAATAATTATAAAAAATGCAAAAAAAAAATAAAAATGTATCATGGGCTTATCC